TTGGGGACATAAACTCAGATTTTTAGAATGTGCTTGTCTCACCTGGCCTTGCTTCTAATTTATTGTCTGTTGGTCAATTGGTGGACAATAATTGTAATGTTAATTTTTCTCGGTCTGGTTGTCTTGTGCAGGAGCAGGTGTCGGGGAAAGTGATCGCGAAGGGGCCTAAAGTGGGAAGATTGTTTCCAATACAGTTTATTTCTAATCATTTGTCTCTTGCTAGTCATAGTGTTTTGAATTCCTATGAGGATTGGCATAAAAAACTAGGTCATCCAAACTCTTTTGTTTTGTCTCATTTATGTAAAAGTGGTTTGTTGGGAAATAAAAATGTTATTCCTGATGCCTCTGTTTCATGTTCTGTTTGCAAATTGGCTAAAAGTAAAACACTTCCTTTTCCGTCTGGTGCTAATCGTGCTTCCACTTGTTTTGAGATGATTCATAGTGATGTACGGGGAATGTCTCATGTGGTTTCTCATGCTCACTATAAATATTTTGTCACATTTATTGATGATTATAGTCGTTTTACTTGGATATATTTTCTCCGTCTGGTGCTAATCAAGCAAGTGTTAAAAAATTTCGATCTAACTCTAGTGGTGAGTACATGTCTCATGAGTTTCAGGAATACGTTCAACAAAAAGGCATCTTGTCTCAACGGTCTTGTCCCAATACCCCTCAACAAAATGGCATGGCAGAACGTAAGAATCGTCATTTGCTTGATGTAACACTCACCTTACTTCTCCAAGCTTCTGTACCATCCCGATTTTGGGTGGAGGCTCTTTCCACGGCTGTCTTCTTAATCAATCGTATTCCTTCTACGGTTATTGATCTTGATTCTCCTTTCTTTCGTCTATTTAAAATTCATCCTGATTATAGTGCTTTACATACTTTTGGGTGTGTGTGTTTTGTTCACTTACCTCCTTTTGAAAGGCATAAGCTTGGAGCACAATCCGTTCAATGTGCATTTATGGGATATAGTCACTCTCATAAGGGATTTGTGTGTTATGATGTCTCTAACCATCGTTTTCGCATTTCTAAAAATGTGACATTTTTTGATAATCAATTTATGTTTCCCTGTGTTTCAACTGTCATTAATGATATTGTTACTCTTCCTAAGTTTTCTATTATGCCTCAATCTATAGAACGTTATAAACCAGGTCATGTATATGTCAGAAAACACAGACAGCAAGTTCCCACACCCCTTCCCGATGCTGAACTGCCACCTGATCCTATACCGGTTGAACCACGACGTTCTGGTCGAATATCTCGCACACCAGATAGATATTCACCTGACAGGTATGATTCCTCACATACTTCTCTGACTGCCACACTCTCTAACATATCTATTCCTACTTGTTACTCACAAGCTGTTAAGATGTGCGATGGATAAAAGTAATGAATGAAGAGCTCCAAGCTCTTCAAGAGAATTTCACATGGGATATCGTCACTTGTCCTCCAGATGTAAAACCTATAGGTTGCAAATGAGTGTATTCTGCGAAATTGAATTCTGATGGGTCCCTCAACCGTTACAAGGCTCGTTTGGTTGCGTTAGGAAACAAGCAGGAATACGGAATTGATTATGATGAGACATTTGCACCGGTTGCCAAAATGACAACTGTCCGCACGATCATGTCTATAGCTGCTTCTAGTGGGTGGACTCTTCATCAAATGGATGTGAAGAATGTTTTTCTTCATGGTGACCTGACAGAAGATATTTATATGACTCCACCTCAAGGCTTATTCTCTTCATCTAAAGGCGTGTGTAAGCTCAAACGCTCCTTATATGGTTTGAAATAGGCACCTAGAGCATGGTACGAGAAATTCCGCTCCACTATACTTGGATTCTCCTTTACTCAGAGTCAGTATGATTCATCTTTATTTATTCATAGCACATCTGCGGGTATTATTCTTCTTCTTTTGTATGTTGATGATATGGTTATTACTGGTTCAGATCATACTTCCATTCAGCGACTTAAGCAACAGTTACAAGCCTCATTTCATATGAAAGATCTGGATAATCTACATTATTTTCTTGGTCTTGAGGTTCATTCTACATCCAAGGGCATCTTTCTCCATCAACACAAGTATGCTACAGATTTGATTTCTATGGCCGGTCTTGAATCGGCTAATCCGGTAGATACTCCTCTTGAGGTTAATGTTAAATATCATCATGATGATGGGGATCTGTTGCCTGATCCCTTATTGTATCGACAACTTGTGGATAGCCTCAACTACTTGACTATTACTCGCCCTGACATATCTTTTGCTGTTCAACAAGTAAGTCAACTCATGCATTCTCCTCGCCATCTTCACTTGGCTGTGGTTCGTCGTATAATTCGCTACTTAAAGGGAACCTCTCACCGCGGATTATTCTTTTCCGTTGGAACTTCTCTTCAGTTGAGTGCTTATAGTGATGTTGATTGGGCAGAGTGTCCTGATACTCGTCGATCTGTTACTGGTTGGTGTATGTTTCTTGGTTCTTCATTGATCTCTTGGAAAAGTAAGAAGCAAGCAAGAGTTTCTAAATCTTCTACTGAATCAGAGTATCGTGCCATGTCTGCTGCTTGTTCAGAAATACTTTGGCTTCGTGGTCTTTTGGCTGAACTTGGATTTCGTCAAACAGAGTCAACTTCACTTTATGCCGACAATACAAGTGTCATTCAAATTGTTGCAAATCCTGTTTTTCATGAACGCACCAATCATATCGAAGTTGATTGTCATTCAATACGTGACTCCTACGATGATCGAATAATATCACTTCCTCACGTCAGTACTCAGTTGCAGGTTGCAGATATTCTTACCAAGGCTGTTCCACGCCCAAGACATCAGTTTCTTGTTAGCAAATTGATGCTCCTTGACCAGCCGCATCAATTTGAGGGGGGATGTTAATCAGAAAATAATCTTTGCAGTTATTGTGAATAATTTACATTCATAGAATAGAAAAGTAGTCATTATGAATTGTAATTAGTTGTTATGAGCTGTAATTAGTTATTATGAGTTGTTATTACCGACGCTATTATATATAGTATGAAAGGCAATGAGAAAGGCATCCAGCCAAATTTCATGACAACTTAAAATCTGACAGACGAATGAGAGGAGGGATAAAAACTAAAAGGTTTGGATTAGATGGAGTAAGAATACCATTCGGTCATTACTTTCAGTAGCATAACTCAGCCATTTGTAAGACCGTACAGTTCATATTCTAAGTTTGTATTTAAAATCTAATTTGGTAGTGTAGAAATTTAAATTGTCCAATCTTGATCCAATCAAGGCATGCTGATTATAGTGACTGCAGTGTAATTTGATTGCAGACAACCTGAATCTGAGTTACTATTTAGTTATTTGTGGAGATAGGAGGGACTGGGAGGAGTCAAATACAAGAACCCTATGGGAAAATATATTAATTTTGATTACTATAAATAATTCCTAAAAATATTTTAGAAATATATACCTCCTATAAATAATTTTCATCACCACTCACCAGCCTCGTAAAAAGTACTTGCGTTTTATATGGACTAAAATTAACCTATTTCAATTGATATAAATTATAAGCATATTCAACTCTACCACAGTACCACTTATCATGTAACTAGAAAGCTGCCAACAATAACCATTATCCAATATCTGCCTGGAGAAACAAGCATGGAGTCTGTAGCAAGAGACTAGATTGACAGGAGGGAGTATTTGAAATGAAATAGCTTTGGTTTCATTTACAACAAGCCTGGGAACATATGAAGAAGTGGGCTGATAAATAGAGGATGATCAGAATTTTGAAAAAGATAATCAGAATTTTGAAACCTCAGGTACACGTAGCAAAGTGTAGTTAGGACAATCAATTGTAAGCTTTCTGCACTGCTCTATGGAGTTTATTAAGTGATAGAAAGAATTGGTCTAGTAGTTTAGAAGTTCATGTTTCCTGCTACTTCTAGAGTTCATCCATTTTTTCATATTTCACAACAGGGTTGTGTATAAATATGGTTTTATAAAGGATCTACCCACACGGAAACTAGAGGAAACTGGGGCAGAACAGAAAACACCAAATTATTTTTCCATTGAGAAGGACAGTCCATAGAAGACACTATATGAGAAGATGCTTTGAAAATGCCTTGAGAACATTACTGAAATTCAGGCATGTGACTCTCAGGGGATGGTAGTGGAAGCCACGGGTGTGGAATGACATTTGAAAGACTTGATTACTCGAAATATTGTTGAACAGGGGAAGAATACACCTAAAGAAGTTATTCATTGACAAGACAAGGACGATCCATAGAAGAGACTATAATAGTTGTATGAGAAGATGCTTCCAAATTTTAAGACTCCATCCTGAGAATATGGCTGAATTTTAGGCATGTGATGATGCATATTCAAGGAGAGATGCATATTTTAGGGATAAAAGAGAACTCAACAGAAACTACAAATGGCACTAAAAGCTAGTGTGTGTAAAAAAGTGAAAATTGAGGAGGAATAAAACTGAAAAGGGAAATATGAGAATAGTGGTGTCAAGTAGGTGGAGTCAGTAATGGGAATTCTGTTGATGGGCACAAAAGTTGCTGAGTCTGGAGCTTTGCTCTGGGTTTTGAGGGGATTTTTCTTCTGAAATAGTTCTTGCCATTAATTAGTAATATACTTTTTATCTTTACATGCATTGGGTTCCTATCATGATGTAACATGAACAGACAAGCTGCGAAAAATTTAGGCTTTCAAAATATTTGGTCATCTCTCCTGTGGTTGTTCAAGGACATAGTCATAAAGAATATATACAATTCAGAAGACGTGTCATCAAGTATCCATTGGTTTAGATTTAAACTAATAAACTACAAGCTTATTCCCTGGCAGAGTGTAAGACTGAGAAAGTCGGAGAAGAAATTAAAGAATTTTCAACAAAAATTATTATTCAGTAATAGTTGGACTTCATATCTTTATTTTAAGTAAATAGTTAAAACTTTGTATCACTAAGAGCGTGCATCCTATTTCAAAGAAATAAAATTCAGTTATATTTACCTCTAATCAAATGCATAAGGATCATCTGCATATGGATTTAGAGAACCTTCTGAAAACAAATCACCGATAGTTGAAGGACGGGGATGGCCTTCAGCCCTTATACTCTGCATCAATGAAATGTAAAAATTATATCCACACTACTGCACACCAAGAACAGCATAGCAAATGCAAGAGCACGTATTTGTCACCTTATACAAAGTATTGTACAAAGATTAGTATTCTATCTGACTTGGTTTATCCTAAAGTCTTATAGGAAAAAGGGGTGAAATAACTTTCATGCAAACCTTTTCTTTTCCTTTTGCTTTTAAGTATATACTATGTCAACAGCATTACACGAAGTAGCCCGATATATATTTCGGTAAAATATTGGACTTTGAAAATTTTGAAAGCATCGGATTCTAATAGAACATGTTACGAATCTTGCATTTCCAAACAAAATAGTTTACAAACTCAATAACCAAAGAGGAAAATACTCAAATTAAAAATAAAAATAAAATTATTGGATTAAATTAAACAAAAATCTATAAACTAATAAGATAATATATGCTCTTAACCATCATCATATATGGTAGCACCAGCATAGTGTAGTAATGAAAATGAAAACGAAATTATAGTTGTTTGACATGATAAAAAAATTATCCTCTTATAATTCATCCAAATTCGTTAGAACTATGCATCTTGATATGTTAAAACAATAATGCTAAAACCAATCAATAAATGACATGCCAATTAAAAGGAAAATTTCAGCTTAGTTAATTACCTTAACAACTGTTCTAGGGGTATTTGTTTTTGGTGTATTTATCTTTTGTTTTCTTGGATCCTGATAAAGAGAAGAAGTTCAAAATTTCAGGCATATAAGAATTCTGCACTTGGAAGCCAAGCCATCTGGTGTGGAATGTAGTTCATGTGTAAACCTATAGGGTTAATTGCATATATATATATATATATATATATATATATATATATATATATATATATATATATATATATATATATATATATATATATATATATATATATATATATATATATATATATATATATATATATATATATATATATATATATATATATATATATATATATATATATATATATATATATATATATATATATATATATATATATATATATATATATATATATATATATATATATATATATATATATATATATATATATATATATATATATATATATATATATATATATATATATATATATATATATATATATATATAGAGAGAGAGAGAGAGAGAGAGAGAGAGAGAGAGAGAGAGAGAGAGAGAGGTACATGCCTCAAACAAGAGAGTACTTCTTGTTTTCCTTTTCTTTGTAATTGTTCTTCCATTAGAAGTCTCAACTTCATATTCACGGCGAGTTACCTGCTCATTGAGTATAGGAGCAAAGACAGTTATTAAATATGATTTCAGACAACCAATTAAAGGCCAAAAACTTTGATCAATTTATAATTGTTACGTATTACTTCAATATAATAATGAGGGTCCCGCCTGTTGGCCATGAGTTCATAGAAAAGTAATTCACCTTTCTATGATGCTTAGGAATGCCACCTGCATTTCCTGCTTTTACGCTTTCCACTTTCTTCAACAACTTAGGGACTGGTGCTTCTGTTTCTTCTACGTAAGGAGATTCCTATAGCGAGAAGATAAAAACAAAACAAATAAGATGACATTGGAGAACATAATATTAACACATTATTGAATAAGAAAATAAATTTTCTTCTAATTAACATTCTTACCATTTCATGCTGATTTACTTTCCCACCAAAAGAACTCCTTCTCTTAATCGATGAAACGGAGTATTCCTATTACACGAACAAAAAAACATGTTCATTTTGCTAATTTATTCAACAATGAATAGAGAAATTGATTAAATTTGAATAAATTCAACTCCAACTAATGTATTCTGTGAGATATTGGATCGAACTCTAGTATGGTCGAAGGTTAGCTTCTGGTTCGACAAGAATTAAGCATGAGGTCGAAGTCTGTTCGCATACTGCTGTCGGAGTAATGTGTGTTGTAGTCGAAGTTTGTCCTAACATGCATTAGTCAATATTGCTAGGATTGTTAGCATGTTGAATTGAGTCTTGTAAGCCCAATGGTTTAAGTTAGCTTGTACCTTAAGTTAGTTTGTAATGGGTAATTGTTAAAAAGCCTATTAGGTTAGTGTGCTATTTTTCTTATAAATAGAATGATAGTCTCTCATCTTGGCATAAGGAAAAATAAAAAGATAAAATCTTAATTTCAATAGAGAGAGGTTATTTTGTTATTCTTATATACTTGTAATATTGTTCCTAAGAGTAAGGAAAAAATAGCAGTTTATAACCAATCCTTGTTGTTTTACCTTGTTTTCTTTATTAATCTTAACCTTTGTGTGTTTCTTGATCATAAAGAAACCGTTTATACTTTGTTTCAAGACATTCGATTCACAACAAATTGGTGCAGTGAGCATGGAAAAGATGACTTCAACAAAGTATGAGATTGAAAAGTTTACCAGAGTGAACGACTTCGGTCTGTGGCGCTTGAAGATGAAAGTCCGACTGGTTCAGCAGGGTTGTTTGAAAGCGTTGAAGGGAGAGGCAGCCATGGACGCTGCGTAACGGCAAAAGAAAAGACGGGCATGATTGAGAAGGCCCACAGCGCAATATTGTTGAGCCTTGGTGATAAGGTTCTTCAACAGGTATCAAAGGAGACTACAGCATCGGAGTTATGGGTAAAACTTGAAAGTTTGTACATGACCAAATCCCTGGTGAATCGACTCTACCTGAACCAAGCTTTGTATTCATTCAAGATGAGTGAAGACAAAGTGTTGGCTGAGCAGTTGGATATGTTCAACAAGCTGATTCTTGATCTTGAAAATATTGATGTGAAGATCGATGATGAAGATCAAACACTGTTGTTGTTGTGTTCTTTATCCAGAATACATGCTCACTTCAAAGAAACTCTCTTGTATGGAAGGGAGTCTCTGACCTTTGAAGAAGTTCAATCAGTCTTGTATTCTAAGGACTTGAACGAAAGAAAGGAGTATAAACCTTCGACGGTGGGCGAAGGTTTGGCCGTTAAGGGAAAATTCTTGCGAAAGGATGGTAAGTTCGACAAGAAGAAAGATAAAAGTCAACAGAAGTCCTATAGTGGCGAAACATCTGATATTCGATGTTATCACTGTAAAGAGGGTCACACAAGAAAGGTGTGCCCTGAACGCCTGAAAGAACATGGAGATAATGACAACGCAACCATTGTTCAAGATGACTTCGACTCATCTGATGTTCTTGTGGTTTCAAGTGGCGACTCGAGAAAATAGTGGATTATGGTTTCAGGTTGCACTTGACACATGACTCCAAAGAGAGAATTGTTCGAGGAACTATGTGATCAAGATGGTGGATTGGTGCTGTTAGGAAACAACAAATTTTGCAAAATTGCAGGTATTGGATCTGTGAGATTTAAGCTCCATGATGAGTCAATAAAGTTATTGACTGAAGTCAGGTATGTACTTGACTTGAAGAGAAATTTGATTTCTCTTGCTGAATTCGACAGGAAGAGATATGTTTTTCAAGGAGAGAAAAGTATCTTAAGAGTCATGAAGGGATCGAAGGAAGTTTTGAGAGGCGTGAAGAAACAAGGCTTGTATACCCTTGAGGCTGAGGTTGTAAGTGGTTCGACAAATATTGCATCCACGAAACCTGTGTCGAAGACAGAATTATGGCACATGAGATTGGGTCATGTCAGCGAAAGAGGCATGGTCGAATTGGGGAAGCAGAACCTGTTAGGAGGTGACAAAGTCGAAAAGTTGGAGTTTTGTGAATCTTGTGTATTTGGTAAATCATGTAGGGCGAAGTTTAACAAAGGCAAGCAAAGAACACATGGATCCCTAGATTACATTCATGCTGATCTTTGGGGGCCTGCAAGGAATCCTTCACACTCAAGTGCAAGATATTTTCTATCCATCTTTGATGACTATTCCAAAAAGTTATGGGTATTCATCCAGAAGACGAAGGATGAAACTTTTGAGAATTTCAAAAGTTGGAAGATTCTGGTCGAAACTCAAACTGGCAGAAAGGTTAAGAGGTTGAGAACCGACAATGACCTTGAATTCTGCAACGAAACATTCGACATTTACTGTGTTGAGTCTGAAATTGCAAGACATAAGACTGTAGCTGGTACTCCTCAACAAAATGGCTTAGCTGATAGATTCGATCGAACAATCCTTAAAAGGGTTAGATGCATGTTGGTTAGTGATGGATTGAAGAAGGTGTTTTGGGCAGAGGCTATTTCGACAGTAGATTATTTGATAAATAGGTTTCTCTCGACTGCCTTGGGAATGAAGACACCTGAAGAAGTTTGGTCGGGACATCCACCTAGTCTCGACAGACTGAAAGTATTTGGCTGTGTGGCCTATGCTCATATTAGGCAAGACAAGGTCGAACCTAGAGCTCTGAAATGCATGTTCATGGGATACCCTGAAGGAGTCAAAGCTTATAGGCTATGGTGTCCAGAGTCAGGTCACAGGAGGTGTATCACCAGTCGAGATGTAGTTTTTAATGAAGCAGAGATGGTTTTCAAGAAATCTGATGATGCTGACGAAGAGTTAGAACAGGGAGAGATTCCTGTTGAGGTGGAGCATGTTGATGCTAAATTGCGTATCCCAGATGAAGTCGAAGAAGACGCAGAAGATGCTGTCGAAGATGAGAAGACTGATAATGACTACCTACTATCAAGAGACAGGTCGAGGAGAGTCATCAAGCCACCTCAGAGACTTGGGTATGCAGATCTTATAGTTTATGCTTTAATCTGTGCAAGTGAGGTTCTAGACGAAGAACTTAGAGACTATAAGGAAGTTATGAGGAGTCAAAAGAAGACTGAATGGCTGAAGGCCATGGATGATGAGATTAAATCTCTTCATGATAACAACATCTGAGAACTGATCAAGAGACCTGCGAGGGCCAGGTTAGTCAGCTGTAAATGGACTTTCAAGTGAAGGAAGGAATCAAAGGAATGGCGTCGAAAAGATACAAGGCAAGATTGGTTGCTAGGGGGTTCACTCAGAAAGAAAGTGTCGACTTCAATGATGTGTTCTCTCCTGTTGTGAAGCACAGATCCATTCGAATGTTGCTTGCCACAATGACACAGTTCGACCTTGAACTGGAACAGATGGATGTGAAGACTGCATTCTTGTATGGTGATTTAGATGAAACAATCCTGATGAGGCAACCTGAAGGGTATGTCGAAAAAGGGAAAGAAGATTATATGTGCAAGCTGAATAGATCTTTATATGGACTGAAACAATCTCCTCGACAGTGGAATAGGAGATTCGACAAGTTCATGACACGCATAAGTTTCATCAGAAGTCAGTTCGACCACTGTGTTTACTTCAGACTTCGACCGGGTAATTCATTTGTTATTTTATTGCTATATGTGGATGATATTCTAATAGCAAGCAACAATGTCGAAGATGTAATGAGGGTAAAGGCTAAACTCAATAAGAAGTTTGACATGAAGGATCTGGGAACTGCGTCCAGGATTCTTGGAATTGACATCCGAAGAGATAGAAAGCAGTCGAAATTATGCTTATCTCAAGAGGCATACCTACGGAAGATTCTCGAAAAGTATGGTATGTCGAATTCAAAGCCTGTTGTGACTCCGACAAACACTTAATTCAAGCCGAGTATAGATCAGTGTCCCAACACTGATGTTGAAAGAACTTATATGAATAGCATTCCATATGCTAATATAATGGGTTCTTTGATGTATGCTATGGTCTGTACTAGGCCTGACATAGCATATGCAGTAAGTCTTGTAAGCAGGTACACGGCGAATCTTGAAAAGGCTCATTGAAAAGTATTGAAGTGGATTCTAAGGTACATAAATGGGTCTCTGAATAAAGTCCTAATTTATGGTGAATTCTTGGGTGAAGATAGTAAAGCAGCAATCGAAGTCTATTCACATGCTGCTGATATGATCACTAAGACGTTGCCCAGTTGCAAGTTTTTCCACTTTATGCAGTTGATAAAACTGCATGAAGAAAGCTAGTTTCTTGACGTTGTAAAGTTTAGATCCAAAGTGGAGATTTGTGAGATATTGGATCGAACTCTAATATGGTCGAAGGGTAACTTCTGGTTCGACAAGAATTAAGCATGAGGTCGAAGTATGTTCGCATGCTGCTGTCAGAGTAATGTGTGTTGTAGTCTAAGTTTGTTCTAACATGCATTAGTCAATATTGCTAGGGTTGTTAGCATGTTGAATTGGGTCTTACTTGTAAGTCCAATAGTTTAAGTTAGCTTATATCCTAAGTTAGCTTGTAATGGGTAATTGTTAAAAAGTAAATTAGGTTAGTGTGTTATTTTTCTTATAAATAGGATGATAGTCTTTCATTTTGGCATATGGAAAAATAGGAAGATAAAATTCTAATTTCAATAGAGGTTATTTTGTTATTCTTGTATACTTGTAATCTTGTTTCTAAGAGTAAAGAAAAAATAGCAGTTTATAACCAATCCTTGTTATTCCTTGTTGTTTTAACTTGTTTTCTTTGTTAACCCTAACTCTTGTGTGTTTCTTGATCATAAAGAAACTGTTTATACTTTGTTTCAAGACATCCGATTCATAACATATTCTAACACTAACACCTATATCCCATATTGTCATAATATTTATATATGTTTATTATATCTCACATTATCTACATCGATTAAATATTTTAATAACTCATAACTCATCCTCAATGGTGAGCTATTAATGATCAGAACAAATATTATGGCTAAACCTTTCTTTTACAGATTGGAAACTATTAAGGCTCTTTCTTTGATCTTTTAATAACTCATATCGTATCTTCAAAGGTGAAATTTTAAGGATGCTATATGAAATCAGAAAGAGAAAAAAACATTGCTACAACTTTATGAAGGCAACCACAAAAGCTTTTTTCGCTATGCCATTTCAACAAACTTATAAATTTGATTGACAAAGTAGTTGTATTTGGTAAACAAGCTTATATTTCTAGATTGCCGTTTTTTTAAAATTTTATCTGCATTAGTATTTGAGCTTATAACCTATATAGTTTTTTTTACCTAGTTTTTATTCATAATGTTTTTACTACATTCTTCCTTATCCCCTACAGTCTTTAAATTATAAATTTTAAAAATTCATGTAATCGAAAAATATATATTTAAGAAATAATTTCATTATCCAAATACATAATTAAGATAAAAAGTAAATGAGAACTTTTTTTTACTGGAACAAAGAACATATTTTATGTACCAAAACATATTAAAAAGATGATAATATGAACTTCTCATTTTAATTATATCATCACATTTCATTTGATAAAAATATTTTAAAATAAGAATAATGTAAAAAATAATATTCAAATTTATATATAATATATAGCTTGAAATAAGAATTAAAAATCAACACAAAAGTGATAAGTATATTAGAATGATTATATACAAAATATTGATATGTTTTAAATACCTCAAATTCAATCAACTAGTTTCAGCTATTAACTTTTTTCTAAAACTAAGTTGATCTACTATCAATTACCTTATTCATTGTTGATTAAATTACCCTAGTTTTACTAAACAAAGCCTGAGTAGCATGGTCTGTTACTTTCTGTAGCAGTCAGCTTAATACTTCAGAACGTAAAACACCATACCATTAGAGTGGAGAATACCATTATATAACAACGGAAATACACAAATGATAACGAAACCAATATCTATTATCATTATATGAAAACATGATTTCTGCTCCAATATGAAAGTTTGGGAGAGTTCTGCTGTTAACCTATGCTCTTCTATAGGCAAAGTCGCCATTAAAATTCTTTCAACTTAAATTTCAAAATAGCTGCAAAAATTATACCAACTAAATCTATCTAATAGCATGCTGATAAGTTGTCATTACAAAATATCCATGCTATAGAAACCATATTATGCCTATAAGTGACAAGATAACCATAAGGAACATAAATATGAAGCAGCGCATTCTTATTTCCATTAACATGATAAGCAAATAAGTTCACAACTGATAGGATTGTGTATAAAAAATAAAAAGAAAACTTAGGCAATTTTAGGTTACAATTGAACTAACTAAGTCTTATCATTTCCCCAATTCATTCTCAATTCTAATACAGCAAACTATAGGTACTCCTACTATTCCCTAGAGACTGTTGATCAGACAGATTATCACAGCAGACGGTGGGGATCTTATGTGAATCTAATTTAAAATGACTTTTATTGATCCTATGCAATCAATGAAATAATATATTCCCTTAAGTTAAACATATTTAAAATAGCACCACAGTATGAAAATCTATTAATTCAAAATATAACTGCATGATTAATATGAATCTTCAGGTTAGCTTCAGTGCTATTTTTGGGTAGCAGCAGACATATTTTTATAAGATATACAAATGATCTAAAAAACATTATATATTTGTATCCCAAAATGCAAATCAACAAAATGGAAACAAACACAGATTGGTTACACAAATCAACCTGTTTTGAATTAACCTCTTGGTCTTCTTTTGGCTTGTCACTCATCACTTTCCATTGCAGCTGCAGCAAAGCCCTTTGCCTGTCTTCCTACAAATATTGCAAAAAAATATATATATCACAAATGTAATGATACTAATTTATCATATCATGTACTCCATACTTTGGATTTCTGGAGATGCAATTCCTCTTCCAGCTTCCGACACTCATCTTCAAGTTCACACCTCAATGCTTTAATTTGAGCTTCATGGTCCTTCCTCATAAATGTTGTTTTCTACATGTAATCGAGGTATCAGGCTATCAGCAGATGAAGTAAAATTGTATACAAATCATAGCTGAGATCTTATTTTGAGAGTTTGTGTGTACTCGACCTCTCTTAGTTCATTTTCAGCCTGCAGTTGGGTACGCTTTAGCTGTTCACTGTGTTCAGCTTGCAGGCATAGTTGCCTCTTATCATGTTCCTGCTGCATATGAGTAACCTGTAGATTGGACAGGAAATAAGTTTACCTGGTGTTTGGATATGTTTTGACATTATGTCGAGTAAATCTCATACAAAGAAAGTAGTGACACAAAAGCATTGTCACAGCTCATATGAGGTACATAACCACCACAAAAAGTGTAATACACAAACTCCAATGCACTTGGATCAAATTACATTATTACTTGAATAGTGTAAGTACTAATTACAAAATAATTGAGTTGTTTATAGAAATAGGGGTTATTTGAACCAATTATTTGCATAGAGACAACCTATAATCCAGATGAAACACCAAAATATTTCTAAGCCAATAATTTTAATTCCATATTTTTTATTACATACCAGCTTAGTGTGTTCCTCCTGAATCTGCATCAACTGCTGCCTTGATTCTTCTTTGCATTCTGCAAGTTTTTGGTCACGCCTTCCCTCAATTTCTGCAATAGCCTTGTCAGCCTGATGGTTCAAATTAGTCAGAAATGTGTCAGTGGAGAGTAAGTGCTGCAAAGACTAATATATCTGATCAAACCTTGTCTTTTTCCATGTTGACAATTTCCTTTTTCTCTATTTCATACTTCCTTTTAACGTCATTAATAGCCTGTTCAAATACATGTTATGAGAAGTTATTGCACAATAAATCAAGCACCTATGGTAGATAACCAGTTATATGCAACACCTGATCATTTCTCTGAGATATTTCTTTTAAATGCTTTGACAATTCCAACTTTTTGTCTTCTACCATTTGATCATATTGATATTTAGATTCTGCAAGTTTACTTTCAGCAGCAGTTAATAATGACCGGTTCTGCAAAGGCATGAAAAAGCATAAATATTATACAAACACCAGTCAGGAAATTGCATCATGCACAATATTTTTGCTTCAAAACCTCTGTGATTTGATCTTCCAGCTTTTTTTCCTGTTCCTTATGGTGCAAAATGCATTGTTCTTTTTCCTCTAAGACTTTACGTAGCTGTATGACTTCTTTGTCAAAAGAGTCTGCATGTTCCTCTACTTTCATCCTCTCCTTTTGCAGAGTATCAATTTCCTCTGACTTCTTCAATATGTCTGCCTGCATTCTTTCCATATTTTCTTTGCTTTCAGTCTCTAAAGCTGAAATTTTGAGTAGTAAACCTTGCTGCAAAGCAATAGATATCCTGATAAGGAACACAATGTATGTTGATACGCTGTTAAGTAAAGCATATTAACTTTAATACCATTTGGTTCTCCGATGATCTAACACTCTCTAACAGAATTTCAGCTTTCTCCTCTAATTTGGAAATAGTTACTTCTGCTTCTGCCTTCTTTGAGATTGAATCTTCCGCTTCTAACTCCAACCGCTGAATTTTCTCGGCAGATAATCGACAATCCTCTGCATACTGTGCTAAAGTAGACTCTTGGACTTTGCGAAGATCATCCAAACTATTGCTTAGCTCTTGATTTATCATATGAATTCCATCTTTTTCGGATGACAAGACCAAGAACTTATTATGAAGCTCATCATACTTGTTTTGAGCATGCTTCGAGAAAGTGTCTCTTTCGTGCTGGACCAACGTGAAGCAAGAAGTATAGAGAGAGTCCAATTCGTTAAACTTGCTCACAAGGTTCAAGCTTTCTTTGTCTAAATTCAACAAATGTGCAGCCATCGACTGAAGTGATCCTTCAAGGTTTTTGATTTCCTGAAGTGACTTGCCAAGCTTTTCAGTAAGATCAGCATTGCATAATTGAAGATCACTTTTTTCTTTATCTAATTTCTGTTGACAGGCTATGCGATGTGTAATTTCTTCATCTTTGACTTCTAGTTGAAGGTGAAGCTCTCCCAACTTTGTGTTCAAAGTCTCTGTATCCAATCTATTAGAAGTTAACATGTCTTCTAAACTCTTTATCATGGTATCTGCAAACAAATTAGCATTCCATAAAACAATAAAAATTAGTAGCAAGTTGAAGATTATGGATATTCACTTTGATGAAGTTATAAGGATTTATGAAGGGAAGCAGGAAAATACAAAATAGAGACCAAATAATTTTACAACAAGCCCTCGTTTAAACATCTTAATCAACGTCTTCTAAGTAAACATGAAAAAGTAGTTACTTTTACATGTCTGTTATTAATGAATACAACATAGTATTAAGTTAGGAAGAAACTCTACCACGTAAAGTCATTATCTACTTGTAATACACATGAAGCAGAGAGTGAGTCTGTATATAGTCGTAGTATCAGTATAAATAGAGTTATACGGTTACATGTGTATATAACACTTCTAAAAATTTAACAGATGGCAAGAATTGTTTGGTCCGAGGTTATGATGTGAAAGAGCGGCTTTTGGGGCCCATCTGTCTTAACACCTCGTGACCTCACTAAGAAATTCAAAGACTTAAGATATTGCTGGATCTAACTAAGATGAATGGCAAAGGGCTGAACATCAATTTGTATCATTCAAGTTTAAGTAGATTAAAACAAATTAATGCTACATATTTGTCCTTCAAAAACATGTTATGATGCCTGGAAAAGCTGTAAAATGTCAACCTCAACCCTAATGATATACTGCCGCTGTATTAGTCAGCCCATAGCCCGCACACTTTAGATGACAGTCCATGACCTACCTAGATACCTGAACAAAGTACAGACCAGTAATGATGAGCTATAGATGGTTTTGGTTGATAATGAGGAGGAAGGGTATTGACTAAGCTCAATAGCATGTCTATGATATTCATTCTCCATGGTTGCCGCAAATGCACCAATTCAAAATCAGACTCTTCTAACATCCCTATGATGGAGGAGGAGTCATTGGTTGTTTGTTTCAGTACCCTCACTAGAAGCATTAGTTGGAGATGACTTTCAAACTACGTCTGAGTCTTCTAATATTTTGGTTCAGATGCAAAGTATCCCAGATCAGGAGCTTTGATACCAACTTGAAAGGTTTGAATAATCTAAGTATTATTGATTAATGTGATACAAATTACAGGCTCTATTATAAAGACTATTTCTGTATTTTTACCCTGCATAAGTATGACGGAAAATATTTCTAACATGCCAACTCATATAAATGTCTTCTGGGATTGAAATCAAGACATAGGGATGATTAACACTACCTTATGCCAACTTCCATCAGTGTTCCATAATGAAACCTTAGATTGTTCATCATATAAAAAGCAGTATCCATACCACAAAATCAAACTCACTAAAGAATAAATACTATATAAAATAAGAAAATATCAACAATGAAAACCAAAGAAAACACGATTGACTCTCTGGACCTTTCCCTTTTCAAAATATGACCTGTTAACAATATATATAATATACACAATAAAACCAAATTTAAGACTCTGGGGGACCAAAAGATCAATGACCTTTCTAATATGAAACTACTTAAATAAAACATTCGTTCCTAAATCCCCAATACACACACAAAAATAAAAAACTTACAAACCTACTTGACCAAAACAGTCTGTTTAAGACAACCTTCACCAGACACTGTTTAACTATATCATTAATTAATTATTCCTATTCTTGAAATAAAATACTCAATACATGCCATATGAATTCTAAGGAATAGTAATTTGAAATTTAACTCACCCTTCTCTTGTATAAGATTGGCAGCTCTGAACTTTTCATCGCTGTGAAACTTCTCCCTTTCTTTTGCAGAGAACTTTAGCTTCTCTAGCTCATTGTCACCTGTCATACGGATAAAAACAAGTTTTAAATAACAGTCGCGGTTGTGTTACAGTCGCGTAAAGGCTTTCACGATTTCGGTCGGTACAAGGGTTACTACACTGAATGCGGTCGTCGGGGATTAAATTATCCACAATTTGTTTTTTATACCATAAAAACGGTATCGGAAGGCACCTTCGGATACCGTTTTGTCGCGGCAGTTTTCACAGGAATGGACCGTTTTTATAACATTGGATAATATATATTTTTTATTTGAATTTAGAACGTCAAAAACAAATCAAACCAAACGGCTTTTCAAATCAACTTTTTGAGTAAAGTTTAAAACTAATAAAAATAACTTACGAGATTTTATTGTTTCCTGTGTAGAGTCTAGCTTCAAAGACAAACCATCCATCTGTTTGTTCAAACTCACAAGAGCTTCTGAACTAGCTGAGAGTTTATTTTCCAATGTTTCCTTATCTTTCTCAGCTATGACAAGATGCATAAAAAAAGTTAACAAATTACAAAGGAAAAAGCTAAGAAAAATAGAAGCAAAGAACAAAAACGAACAAACGGAAATATTGAATCGTCATACCATCCTGAACTATACCAGCCAACTGTTGTAGAGTCTCAGTAAGTTGATCGCACAGAGTCTTAGTCGATGAGAACTTAGATTCAAGTCCTTTCCATAGTTTCTCATCTTCCTTCTGCTTCACTTTCAGCTTCGCATTATCGTTGAAGGCATTCTGCAATTTTTCTTCTAATGCACGGATATGCTCCAGAGATTTCTTTAGCTTAGTATTCTTCTCATAAACACAAAAAAGAGTAATAATCGTTCAATATAACAGGCAAACGAAACCCTAAGCATCGTAAATTTCACCATTCAAGCATTCAACATCTTAAAACACATGCACAATCACAAATTAGAATCATATTATACCGCAATATCAAGATCAGTCTTCACCGATGCTTGCTCTTTCACCAATTTCTCTGCAAATGAAGAATCCAAAACAACGCACCATTATAATCGAAACTTCCGATCACAATCAATAAGTAAAAGAAATAAACGAAATCAAAGCGAAATCGATGTCAAAACCTGCGGTTAGCTTCAGATTGGCGAAACTCCCTGACGAAACGGAATCCGAAGTTTGACGCGCGGAGAGCGATGATAATGGCTTCACAGTTCCCGATGTGGTACCGTACAGCGATTTGAATTTGTCGAGGCTCGTGGAGATTGGAAATCCTCGCTTCTGCATTGTGAAGATCGAAACCAAAAACGTGAAATGAAACCCTAGAAATCAGAGTGCAGCGTTTAAGCCTTTATCTTCTTCCTCGCACAATTCTGTTATCACTCAGCAAAGACGACTCAGTTCATAGTAAAGTTCAAATGCAGTTACGCGCCATGGTGACGCAGAATTTATATTAACGCGCGAGAGCCCGCGTTTAGCTCTGGAGTGGCAAACAGTTAAAACGATCGTTTAGTTTTCTAAATTCGCTTTTACTTTCCACGTAAGCACGGTTCCGTGGCATTAACCTATGATGATATTCGCACCATTGACCTGCCACGTCAGCATTATAGCTTTGTGCATCTGAAACTGAGGGCAATGCTTTCGTGTTCCAAATTTGAAACTTGAACCATCATATATTAATATCAAGCATCATGGAATGTGTGTTTTGGAATTATATTTGGCTCCGTCTCAAAATAATTCAAAAATAATGATTGAATAATTTTATAAAATTATTGGTAATTATTATTGGTTGTCATAAGGGTATAGTGTGATATGATATTTTGAAAATTATGTAGATAATATTTATTAAAAATAAAATCGGTAAAAATTAATTATTATTGCATTGAAAACGTAAAAAAAAATTATTTTTGGACAAATTTTTTAACTAGAAACACTTTTATTTTAAAACAAAAGAAATGTATTAGAATAACTATTTACTTATTGGCTAAGTAACTCTTGTATATTTTCTAACTCATTCAACTATTTAACTAAAATTAGTTATGATCAATTGGGATTGGGATTGGATCTTAGCTAAATTATATATTAATGGTGTCATTTTAAGATTGTAATTACTCATTCAATAATGAATTAGAAATTTATTTGAGCTCGCATGTTTGTTTTCCTTAACAATGGTAGATGTTTACGATGTTTGATATAATTCAAGTTAGTTAGTTAGATTATTATAGTTATTTGGGTTACAATTAGTTAACTTGTATATATACATGTGCATAGTGTAATACATTAATAACAAGTCAATAAACAAACTTTTTAATAGAATTACTTTCATCTTTTCTCTCTGTCATTCCTTCCTCGTCCAGGTGCATCTGCACTAACAAATTGGTATCTAAAACTTCTGATTCGTCTTTCTTGATCGAAAATTCAGGAACAACACGTCAGTAGTCGTGTTTCCAGGGATCGTGAATCGTGTTTGCTACAAAAGATGAATGATAGCAATGGTATTCCCAATTCTCTTCCAATTTTTTATGACAAAAATTTGATCTAATGGAGAAAATAGGTGCAGTCATTGTTTGGTTTTCATGAAACCCTATAAGTGGTTACTAATGGCATTCTTGAGCTTACCCAAAACGTAAAGGATGCTCAGAGAACTGTTCACAGGGATGCCAAGAAGAAAGATTGTAAGACTGCGTTATGTATTCAATTTGTAGTAGATACGACGAATTATGATTGGATTTCTCATGTTGAATCGATGAAGGAAATATGGGATATTCTTGTCAAGTATTATAAAGGTGGTAAGAAAGTTAAAGTTGTCAAGTTACAGACACTATGAAAGCAGTACGAGTTACTGTAAATGGGAAAAGATGAAAACATTGTAGGTTATGTCTCAATGGTGCAAAATCTTGTTCATCTCATGAAAGGATGTGGTAAAGTTCTAACTTATAAGATGATAATTGAGAAGGCAGTGTGTACATTGACCTCTCACTTTTATCACGTTATCATAGCCATTCAAGAATCCAACAATCTAGAAACCTTGAAATTGAAAGATTTGGTTGGTTTGTCAGAGGCAAGTGAGTTAAGGATTATCGAAAGAAAATGGGTTTGTAACGCCCCGATTCTGAATTTCCCATTATTTTGTTGAGTCTTTTAATTTATTTGGTTAATTGTTATTTTATTGTGGTATTTTATTATTTGGAGAGTATTGGGAATTAATTAGAGGGTGTTTTAGATAATCCTTGATTAGTAGTTATTTTGAGAGAAATAGAATAGAAAGAGTATAAGTGGAAAAGAGAAAGAATAGGGAGAATAGAAACCAAAAGGAAAGAAAAAGAAGAGAAAGAAAGGAAGAGAAGAGAAAAGAGAAAGAAAAAGGAGAAAAACCTAGAATCATCAAGAATCAACTTCTAAGCTTTTGATTGATCGGGTAAGGGTGTGAAACTTTATTATTCTTGCAATGTGTATGATTATGTGTGTTCTTGTTGGTTTTGTTTTGGATTGGGGAGAGTTTTACTCATTTTTCATTCTAGGGCATAATACGGATTTAATCGACAGAACCTGAGTTTCGTTGGTGAAAGTGAGATTAAGTAGTAGCATTTATGTCGGGTGATGTTAGGCTAAATGCTGGAATGAGTTGGGACTTAATCAGGTGAATCCAAGAGTTTTGGAGTGGAAGAACAGTGGGGAAATGCTGAGTTTGCAGACACTCGCTAGCACGTTCGCTAGGCGAGCTGGTCGCGAACGTTCGCTAAGCGAGCAGTAGCGAATAGGTAGTGAACGGTCCCAGACTTGGACATAATGCATGTTGTGGTGTTCGCTGGTAGCGAATGGGGGTAGCGAAGGTTCGCTAGGGGTTCGCTGAGCGAGCGAGGTAGCGAACAAAGTCAGAGGCTTCTGTTTGCCTTCGCGAGCTTGTTCGCTAGGCGAACAAGTAGCGAATACTCGCTAGGAGCTCGCTAAGCAAGCAGAGTAGCGAACGTGACAGGTTGTGTTTTCTTTAATGTTTCCATCCGTGGTCAGATTTCCGAATTAACTTTGATTATTTCCTTGCTCGAGGCATCGATCATGCCGAGTTAAATTGTGTTGTGGGTAGCCGCATGGCGTGAATCCTAGATTGTGTGATGTGGCCGTTTGGCAATTTCGTGCATTTGTTTGGATTAAATGGGAATGCATGGTGATATTAATGTGAATGCGTATATTTGTATATACTTGTATAATATGAAGAATGCATGAATATGTTTGTAAACATGTGTGGATTCTAAGAGTGTATTGAGTCGTGTTGCATGTGTAGCATCATGATTGCATTCTTGTGTCTCTGATCCCGCGTAGGATCTGCAGAAACCTCGTCTGCCCTTGTGGGGTGTGGGCGATGGTTTAGTTACTTTGATCCCTAGGAGGATCTGCAGAAACGACCGTGTGCCCTTGTGGGGTGTGAGCGATGGTTTATTTTTGATTCCGTGGAGAATCTGCAGAACAGTTGTGTGCCCTTGTGGGGTGTGAGCAACCAGATTATGTGCCCGTGTGGGGTGTGAGCAATCCTGAAACATCGTATGCCCATGTGGGGTGTGAGCGATGGGTGAACGTCGTAGGCCCGACGGGGAGTTACTTCGGTAACGAGCGATGGTTCCATTTTGGTTCTTCAATTGAACCTGCTGAACGAGTCGGTACCGTATTTGCATCTGCATAGAGTCGTGAGTCGGTCTCTATGAGTTGCATTATCATCTTATATGATGTTTTGGTGAAATGAACGTAATTGTAAATGTTTAAGTGAAATGCTATGAATTGTGAAGCATGAATTGGTGAATGTGATTGATTATGTACGTGTACATTGTGATGTATTGTAACAAGTTGTGGTGAGAAATGTGAATTGCGTGTATGTTATAATTGTGTTTTATGATATATATATATATATATATATATATATATATATATATATATATATATATATATATATATATATATCTATATATATATATATATATATATATATATATATATATATATATATATATATATATATATATATATATATATATATATATATATATATATATATATATATATATATATATATATATATATATATATGTATGAGTTTATGCATTGTTTGTTATGATAATGTTTCTCACCCTTCTGCTGTTTTATAATGCTCTATGAGGCATTGCAGAGTAGGATGCTGGAGGTCTTTTGTGAAACGAGTCTTCATTTCTTTTGGTCAGATGACTCTGATATGTAACACTGGGTAGTTAGGAATTGTTTTGATTCTTTTGTGATACATCTGTGTATGTATCTACTGCTGAATGTTTTGTAAACTCAACTGATGAATTGAATTAATCTGAATGATGTATATGATGCTTATGTTAATGAAGTGATTTCAATGTTTAGATGTTTTCGCTTTATTCTAAATATTAATATGTGGGTTTTAAGCGCTATGCTTTGTTTTTAGTTGAGATTTACCCCTTTTGTTACATATCTTTATGAGCAGGTATTATTTATGTTTCGTTTTGTTGATAATGTGATGCGCCTCTTTTATACCATGTTTTAATTTATACTCTGATGAAACTTTTATTAGTTTCTTATATGATTTTAATTGATTATTTGGGGGTATAGAAAGGGGGTGTTACATTAAGTGGTATCAGAGCCAGTGTTGAGTCAGTTGTGTCTGTCTTCTTGTTGTGTTGGTTAAACGGTTGTTTGACCTTGTTGTTATTTTTGGGAATCCTCAAAATATGGCTGGTCGTAATGACACTGCTATGGTTGCGACATTAGAGGCTATGGAAAGGGCGATGCAAGGTGCGCCGAATATGAATCTGAATGATGAGTTTAGAAAGAATCAGCCGTCTGTATTCAAAGGAAGGTTTGATTCTGACGGTGCTCAGATCTGGTTGAAGGAGGTTGAGAGAATCTTTAGAGTTATGAACTGTGCTGAAGGAAACAAGGTGAGACTTGGGACTCATATGTTGAGGGAAGAGATGACTGGTGGGTCAGTATGAGGCAAGTTCTTGAGGTGGATGACGAAGAAATAACTTGGGATTTGTTCCGCGCTGAATTTTTGAGGAAGTACTATCCTGAGAGTGTGAAGGGTAAAAAGGAAATGGAATTCCTTGAGTTGAAGCAAGGCAACATGTTTGTGGTAGATTACACGGCTAAGTTTGTGGAATTAGTGCAGTTTCATCCTCATTATGCAGTTGTTACGACGGAGTTCTCTAAGTGAATTAAGTATGAGAATGGCTTGCGTCCGGAGATAAAGCAAGCGGTGGGTTACCAGAGGATACAAAGATTTTCGGACTTGACCT